TTGACATAATAACGTCTGCATATCAATATACGTGGACAAATATTAAGATAAGAATTCGGTCAATATTGCCCATGCGTGGCAGATCCTTTAAATGACAAAAGATAACATATTTGGAGGAGTTAAAGATTCCCAGTGAGAAAGTGTGCGGGGTGCGGTGTGGAAAAACACAAAAAGAACTTGAGAAAGTGTTGAAATATTTTATGTCTTTGAGCACGGGAGGTTCAAATCTCTCGAGGAAGAAGCCGGCAGAGCAAACATCACGCAACACTGAGGGGAGCGAATTGGATCTCACTAATTAAACGAGGGATTTTGGTGACGATCGATGTTGGTTTGAGGAGGAGAGCGGACGGGGTAGTATCATGTGCTGTGTGTGTGTAGAGATACAGATCAGGATTCAGGAACAGGCTGGAGGTGGTGTCAAAGGTCCAGACTGGGGGACTTGTTGGACTCAGAAAAGATAAAGTTTCCGAGCACATCTGTACAGGCCTTCAGGGAAACATCTGCATTAACCTCAGCACCACTGAAGACAGGAATGCACGGAGCAACAGGGTGGGTAGTCAAGAGGAAAATCAAACAAGACGTGGTTAGAAGGTTCTAAATGTGTCTCTAAAACAAAGGTTGATAACTTATTGAATATGTATATAATGAGGTTTGCCTTGCATCTTTTATAATGTAGTTATTATATACTCATAATATAAGTTGTAAGCACCCTTCTCCTCAACAGAAAGACCTCTCTAGGGCCCCCAACAAACAATTGAACAACTCTGAATAGGGATGTAGCGATCCAGGTTTTTCATGTCCGATACAGATCTTTTGTTATTTTACCTTTCATTCAAGCATCTCAAAATCCTATTGAGAGTCAAAGATCCCTTTTTCAAGAGTGTCCTGGCCAAGAGGTATTCGCAATGCAACCCTTGTTTATACGGCAGATACCCGATATGAACTGATTCCAGTAAATTAAATGAAAATAGATTTTTTTTTTCCTTCATCATATCACATCCAACTTATTAAAACTTTGCATGAGTTGAAGTAAAACTATGACACTCCGAGTACTATCAGCCACTAAAATGTGTGTTCAAATACAAAGCCCAATCAGACATTTCCTTGGTTCTGTGCTAATATTCAATACCTGGATCAGTATGAAGCATCCCTAAGTCTGGATAAGTTGTGATACCTTTGAAATCAAAAAACATATATTTTGTAAGCGGTTTGGTCAAATATCTGTAGATCTGATTTCAGTGACTATTACTTTTTGAAGTAAACCCATGAGGCAAAGTCTCTCCTATAACAGCAAAAGCCAAAATCAGGACCAAACAAAGTTTACATCAGAGGAAAACTGGGCTCACATCAGGACAAAATCAGGAGTGAAGAAAGTAGAACACTTTAGGACAGAAACCGCGATAACTGACCAGGACAAGAGCCAAGTCTGCATCCACCATTCTGGAGCTAATTTGTGTTTTTATTGTCAATATTCAATAAAATGTGCACTGTGTAATGTTAAAATTGTGTATACTGAGAATTTTCAGGCATGGCTTTCAAGAATGTAATCTGAATGATGAAAGATAATTGAGATGCTTGTTTAACAAAGCTCTAGGGAGTCTACAAAGGGGTGTGGGTGCACAGAGACAGGTGGTGCACAGAGACAGGTGGTGCACAGGCGGCTCACCCAGGCAACACAAAATAATGACCTGCCCCGAGTTGTTATGCATGAATTACAAATGCAATGTCACTCATTAGCTAGGACCAGATTACAGCATTGATAAATAAAACACCGGCGACATGTTTGTTTGCCTATTCCTGTTAAATGCGGCACATCGGCACAGGATTAACAGGAGCTGAAATGCCTGCAATTACACAAAATTGGGCAACGCAGGCTTGTCAATGGTTAGATTTTTATTTGCTTTTATTTACAACAAAAGCTCCCCTGAATACTCTGTCATAGCAAACATCTTGTGCTTACTCATAAATGTGTCAGCAGTAATGTGGCTTTAAAGCAAACAAGCTCATAAATTCCATGTTTGACCTTCTAAAAACCCTCCACTTACACATTGACTGTATTCTAAAGAATAGGTGAATAAAAACGGTGACTAATGCTACACACGTAAATAAAGGTGACAAAGTGGCTCCTCGTTAAATCTCACAGATAACAGTCATCCCAGTCATGTGCTTTTCTGTGGTCTGGGATAAACTTAATAGGTAGTTAGAATGGGTCTTGAGTGAGCATGCCTCACTTAGATTGATTTGGGTGAGTGGAAGTGAATGAAGTGGTGGGCAGGAGGAGCAGCCAGAAGCCTGGAAGCTGTGGTTTGTTAAAGAGGAAATGCCTTAATGCACAGAGGCTGGGAGCTTAAACCAGATGACCCTGGTTAATAAAAGTCCATGTAAGAAAATGTACAAATGAACTTCTTGGCTGTAGTAAGCATTGTGGTAGTAAACTCTTGACCTCAGCTCATCTTCAGGAATATGCCACATAAATGTGTTGTGCTAAGACCCTGGCGTGCTATCATGGCATGTCCTGCACACGCCCTGCGTCAGAACGACACGCGGTGCATTTAGTGTGTACATTCTGGATGTATGCCGTAAGCCATTTACACAGCTGGCTCTCCTAAAGTCAAGTGACTCAATGAGGTGACGTCCCTGGCCTGGGATCTGTCCCAGAGCCCACACCGCCCTCTCTGGTCAGAGGTCAATGACAGCCTGCCTCTTAACGGGGAATCAATCACATTAGACGTTGTATATGATTGTCGTTGAATACGCACATTTTCCTTGAACACAATGTTGGTTTTTATGTGTGACTAATACAACCTGGCATGGAAGTGGGATTGATGTTTAAAGGGAAATTTTAAATGACACATTTACTCCAGGGAAACAAATTTGAGCCAAAATGGAAATCCAAGAGGAAACTGTCTTTTTTTTCTTCTTTTTTTAACACCAAGTTGCAACCGACCGCATTATTTTGGCCATTTTTATTAAGATGAAATTATGAAATTAGGACCAAGTGACGGGCGACAGGATGGCACAGTGGTTAAGCACTTGCGAATCACAGCATGAAGGTCCTGGGTTCGATTCCCTCTCTAGGCCTTTCTGTGTGGAGTTTGCATGTGTCTGGTATAGGTAGGTTTCCTCCATGTGCTCCAGTTTTCCCTACACTACACTGGCATGCGCATCCTGTACGGCAACCACATTTCTATCTCTGTGCCGAGTGAGAGACAAATGCCCACAACAATTGTGACTCTGGTCTGTGAAAGGCACTATATAAATAAAGATTACTTACTAATTACTAATGATAATGGTTTTATTTTTATTTATAGTGAGTGTGTATACAGTACTGTATGTGAATGTACAATGTCTGAGACTCAGACTGTGACTTCAACCAGTGAGCTGTACCATGTTGCTTGATGTGCCTTTGGAAATGGTCCAATATCACCTATTGGTTAAAATGTTAAAACGTGAAAATATTAATTTATTAACATTATTTTTTGCTGCGCTTTTTTGATTTTCTATATAAAACATTTGATGACAATTACTTTGCATTGATTAGAGATTGTAAAAAAAAGTTTAATTTTGTATCAGTTTCAGCTGGTGGCATTTCTGTGCCACAGCTCAAAAAGGTTGGGGAACATGGTCTGGGTGGATGGGTTATTGTTTTTAAACTATAAGCACTATGTGTTACATGTATGCACAAAAAGCACTTTAAAAATATAGATAGATTAAGTGATTGATTGATTCTATTTTACCGGCAACACAAATAGAAAATGGCCGTCTAGTCTTGACGGTGAAATGTGACTGTTTCACCGTGACTGTGAAATGTTCTATTCAGTTTGCGATTGCGTCCAGTATAATAAAAGTTTATAAATGAATGGAGTCCCATCTTTTCTTTTCCATACTTCCTTTCTAAGGCTCTCCTCGACAACACAAGCCCTTGACTTTGAGCCTCTGTGGTCAAATCCATCTGTGTCACAGCCTGTCAAAAATAGTCACAATGCAGTAGCTCCCACAGTAATTACACACTACGCTAAAGGAACCAATGTCACCTCCCTCTTACCAATGTGACCCAACAATGAGTTTTCTTCAGTATTACAAGACAATTCATTGCAAAATTCGGTTAAACTTTCAAACAAGTTTTTTGTAATTATGACTTAGTAATTGAGTATTTATTTCTAAATAGAGTAATTGAGGTCAATTCTAGAAATGTGTAGTTTATTATATCTGCATAATGTCTCTGATTGGCCTGAATTTAGTTAAGCCTTATAAACTTAATCATCTCGATGACTATATGCTCAGATACTAAAAAGACACTATAAAATCGTGTTTAATAGTCAGTATACTTTTCATACTTGAGCCCTATAACCTTGGCAGTAAATGGGATTGGTTTGAGTTTTTTTAAGTTCAGCATATTTTCCACAGCTACAGAAATACAATGCAAGGACAAAATCAACAGTGTTAAGATCTTTTTAGTTAAGGGCTATGTCACGAAACAACGCAATTTCAATACTCTGCAAACTTCTGAGAGCTGTTCTGCAATTATCACCTGTTGTGCATCAATACTGACTGATAAGAAGTGTTATAGAATATAACAAAAGATTGAGCCATAGAACAACAGAACCAAAAAAATAACAATATGAAATAGACCTGTATTTCTGTAGATTCACTACACATGATAAACAGCCAAAGGAATGATTAAGATACATTATTATCGTGAGTTGTAGTGCAGTCTAAGGAAAGCAGGCTGCACTTTGAACCTGTCAGCTGTTGACTTGCTCATTCTTTAGATAACATGTGGCTGACATTACAGTACAGTATCCTAAGCACCTGAACTTTTAGCTGATTGCACAGCTGTTTGAGAGAAAACACTGGAATGTGACGCTCCTGCATATTAGTGGGATAACTGCAACCGTGTTATGGAAACGTGGTCATTGTATGTTCTGAGGGCAGGTGTGGACTTATGTTTAAATACAAAGTGCCATTTCTCGTGGCTATAGACAAGGGAGCATGCTTACCTAGATTGACAAAGCTCATGACCATATCAGCATCATTCAAGAAGTTGTTGTCTTGGAGGCTGGCAATAGGTGGCCCCTGCGTTGTAAATATAGGCTTGTATGGGTACGAATAACGCCCCTCGACATCCGTAGTAATCGCGTTGTACAAGTCCAACATAAACATTGGCGCCGCGTTGTGTTTTCCGTGGAGATTGGGTCTTGGCCGGTGTGGCAGTCCCAGAATCGACAGGATCTCCCGCTGCATCTCTCTGCGCTCCTGACTCTTCAAACGACGGTGAATGAAACTGGAGTGGAACTCATTGTCCAAAGTGAAGTTCGTAAACGCCGAATTAGCCACGACGCAGTATGTCCAGATTAGAAGCAAAGCGGGGCCGCGTCTGTCCAGCGTTGATGCCATGACCATCGTGCGTAATTGCGCTCCAGCTGAGTTTGGCGAAAGTCTGGCAAAGTGGATGTTGAACTTGGAGCAGCTGGCAGCATGTGCTCAATACCCCATCGTCAATTATGAACCCGCATGTTGTGAGAAGTTGCCTGAAACACGCGTGCACGTAAACTAATTTGTCGATGCTTATTCCCTTTCATTCGCCTTTGAAGCAGAGCTCTGGCTTCATCCGCGTGCGGAGTGTGGAGCGTGCGCGTTACCGGGAGAGGTAAGAGCAAGCTGCGAGGAGGCGCTATGGGCTGGGGAGGAGACAGAGGGAGGGAGAGAGGATTTGTGGTTTTCAGAACGGAGATAGTGGTTAGTTGGCTTTTGTTGTCGATTGGAAAAGGGCTTGGGGCAGTGTGTACAAAATTCAGCGTGGATTAGAAAGGCATTTGCATCATGGTAGTTCATAACAAAGCGCACATGGTGTCGCTTAGTTCTCACAGTGGTTCAGCAGTTTGTTATTTATAAAACACAAATGTTAGATACGCATCAAACAAAAACAGTATTTATTACATTTTCTAGAACAAAGGTGTCCAGGCTAAAGTCACTTCAGTTAACCGGGTTTGTTCAGGGGCTGACCCGTATTGCAAAACTGTTTTGACAGGGTTCAGGCTGTTTTGAATTAGCTATGACAGAGCTGAAGTTGGCTGAATGACAAACGACCATCTCACCGGCTGCATTAAAGGAATTTTGTGACCCAGTCAAAAACAAATGTCAGAATATATAGATACATTTGGCTCTGGGCTTTACAATGAGGTATTGCAAGTCTATATTGACTGAGCTGAAGTTGGCTGGATGACACTGTGAACTTGGTAAGCAAGACAGAGGGCCAAATAAAAGGACACAGATGGCCGTAACTGGCCTGCAGGCCTAAGTTTGGACATCATTGATCGAGAATCTTTACTCTAATGTTCATAGATTCCATTAAAAAGTGCTGTACTGGTGCAGGGTTCACTTTTTGTTTGATCTAATCTAAATGTTTTTCAGGAGTGTTCCACAGATTGTCTTTGAACATTTCCATTCACATAAGTGACTTTACTATGTCACAGGCAAAAAATGTACATCTCCATGATAAAAAGTAGCGCAACAAACCTTTAGACAAGGGACACTTTAATCCACCAAACTTGTCCAGGGGCCGTCAACCCGGATTCAGAATGTCCTGGGCTTTAAAATGGGGCACGATGAAATGTCCATATTGATTCACACCACAGCTACATTAGTGCCATGTATAGAAGAACTGGATTCCAGATGGTTCTGAGCTTTACAACAAGGTGTAGCATGACTATATTGGTGATGCTGAAGTTGGCTGGATGACTTAAATGTCTACTTTTTGTTAGAAAGACAGAGGACCACATAGTTTAGACACCCCTGCTTTAGACAATGTGTTTTTTATCATTCAATAACTCTCTACTATACTCTCTCAGAATCCAACAGCCAACATTGTAAATTGAATAGACACTATTTTTGTTCTGAACTGTCGTCAGCAGCAGAATAACCTAAATATTTTGTGTTTGTTTATTTTGCAGAGAAAACCAAAGACACTCGTTACAAAAATCAACTGGAGTCTGTACATCTCTGAGTTGACACATTAACCTCTCTGATTGATTGGAGCTCCTCCGCGGTGCTACTTCTTGAACCATTTTGCGTCTACGTTGTGGGCGTTGGGATTTTTTTGCGACACCGGAAAGGATGCGTAGACAATGAGCAGATGCGGAGCAGGGGCGCACATGTTTGGCAGCTGCTCCCTCCTGGCCTCAGCACCTCTTAAACACCAGGCTTTAATGGAGCGCCCTTGACCCTCTCTGCACACTGACGGGTGCCTTCCGATGACCCATGCACACAGGAACAACAACCGGCCAAATGCTTCCCTGAGAACTAGTGGCAGAGAGAGAGAGAGAGAGAGAGAGAGAGTGACGTTTCATACAGGGGAGAATGATGTATAAAAAAGGGGCAAATACACGCTAATGCTACATGTTTCACCAGAAAGACAATATCTATCATGAAAAATAGAGCTGTCATCAATTTGGTATTTCTTTGCTTACCCTTTGGCATTTCTTTTTAGGAATTTGATGTGAAACAGACAAAAGGTGGAGCCATGAAACTTTATAAGAAATTGAGGACTCCAAAAATCAATAACAGATATAAAGTAGTATGAGTATATAAGTGATAAGGCTGTATAGATTCAGATTCAGATTCATTTATTTGCCATTTGCAGTAGAAAGTACTGTAGATAGATTCAGGAGCTCATATTTCGCAATTCTACTACTTTGGCCCCAAAATGAATAGATTTTTGTGCATTGTCATCTTTTTAAACTGCCATTTGATCATGCATGTACATTTGAAAGTAAGAAAATGACAAGCTATTTTTCACTTTGAACAGGAAAAAAATGCTACAGCTCTTGAATTCGTTCTAAAGCTGTGTTTTCCATTCTTCAATTCAGAAATCAAGAAAACATTTTGCATAACTCAAGCATCTTTTCTTCATGATTTAGGTCTATTTTTTGCAGTGAAAATATATAAACACATTTTCAGAGGTGAATAATGGGTGGGCTAGCGGGGGGTCAGGGTCTCTAGCCGCCCTCCTCGCCTTGATCACCAAAACCGGACTTGTGCGGCTGAGATGCAACAGCGTGCATGGCCTGCAGCTCGCCAGGTGATTTTTATGACAGTAAAATTGGACTTCAATGGCACAGCTAGGGGAGTCCGCCAGACGGCTCAGGGCCTGATTGCAAACAGAGGGGGGGGGGGGGGGGGGGGGGGGGCAGAGCGTGTGTCGGGGTCCTCTGCACTTACCTCACCTTCCTGCTTGTTTGAGGCCTTCAAAGACACTCCACTGGTTAAAAGCCTGACATTGCCCTCTGTCACTCACTGTGTATATCTAATGCTCTACTTTGTTTTAAATGGTTCTTCAGTAGTAGCTTGTAACATATAAACAGCCCTATCCGCTCTTCCAGATTGAATCAGCTAATGGCCGCAGGTGTTTACGTTACTGCAGTTTCCGACAGAGGACTTAAAAGGACCTGGCCATAACTTTACAGTACATTGTGGATGCTTTCTCTTTCCCTTCCGCTTGTGTCATCCCTCACCTCGTTCTCTCTTATCGCCGATGATTAAGGGAGGCCAGACTCAAATCGCTTTATCCTCCGGCAACCCCAGCCTTTCACCGAGGCTGTGCCCAAAGAGGGGTTGACAGCTCTGGGCAGGACAATAGGGAACAGACCCCTCTTTGTTTGTACCTCCACGGCCGCAGTGACAGTCTCGGTAAACACAGGGCATAAGCTGAGGCCGTGACTGGGTGTGCTGCAAACAAACAAGCAGATCAAAGTAGTGTTTGAGATGATTGAGCTGTTGGGCCTGTGCAATATGCGAACCAAAGTATATCAGTGATGTTTCAACAGATTTTCAGTTTTCAGTAACTTAATTAAGAACAAGTCCATGTTGATAAATGTTATTATGCTAAGACACAATGTAATCCATTTGTAAGAGATGAGAAGAGGTATCAGGAAGTATCCATACAGTTCAAACAACTCAAATAAAGGACCCAAAGTAGAAGAAGTGTTTGTTCTTTAAGGTACTTTTTTATTGCCTTGAACTACAACAGCACAAAGTTGCCGATTCACCCACAACAGATCAGAGAATCAAACAGTTTGAACACAGTAAATGCAATACTAATAACACAGCATCCCGAATCATAACTGTCCTCAGACCCTCCTGCATCTGCAAAGAACGACAAAACAAAATCAATGAAGGAAAAAAGTGATGTGTTTGGGTACCTAACCTCTTCATTCCATATGTTCCAGATGTTTGTTCCTACAGAAACTAGTCTTGTAAAATGTTGGTGAACCAATCAGACCATAACAATGTCTTGACCTGCCCTGTGAGTCACTATTTGATGCTTTGGGCTGAGAGATGACTGGTTGAGTGAGGGCGATCCTCCGTTTCTCACTTTTCTGTCTGAAAACAAAGTCAAAATGCATGCGAGAACTAGTGATAGAAGCAAACTATTTTGAGAGCGATTCACTCTCTAAATGTATTATATTACATAGTTCCATTTTTGTGGTTTTAGGTACCCCAGCTTGAAATAACTAGATTAAATTGCACATATTGTAGGGCTCTTGGCAGTTGTAAAAGCTAAAAGTTCTTCCATATTATTGCACTGAGTATGACTGAAGTTTGTTCCTTCCAGTTGCTTTAGTTATCTCTGTTTAGGAGCGGGGAGAATGTGGTCAGAGGTCAGATTAATATTTATTTCACGTGTTGCCGGGGAGAACAGCAGGCGCAGAGCTTTGAAGGCCGGGAGACAGATGATGAGGAGGAAGGTGCAGTTTTAAAAGTGTAGTGAAGTTTTCTTTAGGGTAAAATGACCCTCACATAAAGCAGTGTGAGGTGGAGGTGCACACAGGACAGGGTGGAGGAGCGGATTCTTTCCTCTCTCGTTCCGTCCGCCCAAATCTGCCCACAGCGAAAGCTCCACTATGTTCCCGCTCCTCAACCTGTGGCCTGTTAAAACAGCCTAACCAGGTGGAGCTCAACTGCTTGATGTTCTTTTCTGGTGTCTCACACTTCCAGGGGCCTCATGAACATATGAGCCACATCTGTGAGACAGAGAGAAAAGGGGGGTGTACTGTACAGCTTAAAAGCGCTTCATTTATTATTCTGCCTCTATTTTAGTCATCTATTAAAGAAAGGTTGTCTGAAGTATCTACCGAACCTTTGTCCAGTTACTTTTTGCATATACTGTTATCATTTGTGGTAAATCACAATAGTAATAAAGCTTACTTTGTCATCTGTTCAGATTTTCCACACAGATGGAGCAGATTTGCAAAAGGTACATTATGAAAAATACTACACTTGAGAGACAGACAATGAGAGAATTGCCTTACTATTTAAGAATATCAAAAATAATATTGTATCTTATTCTGTTATTTTTACCTGTATTCAGGAGATTCATATCTGGAGATGGTGGTCCTATTGTAGATCAACAGCTCACTCTTGACCCACTGCCACTGGTCGAAGCATGAGCTGCAGAGAATAAATTAATACAAGTTACTTTTGAGTAGACCTTTCAGTACAGCTGCTACTCCTTCACATCAAGAGAAGCCAGCTGAGCATTTGTTTTAGATGTTTCAAAAGGTGTTCAAATGAGATTAATCCTTTTAAAACATTGTAATTTTTGATTTATGAGTTTATCTTTTTGGATTTGGTTTAAAATAGTGAAATAAGAGAAACAGCATCATAGGTACAATCCATCTTAACCCAGCTGAGGGCCAGCATCGATCAGTGAAGGGTCAAATGCAGAGGACAGTTAGGATTTTTTTTATGGACAGTAAATGCCTAAACTTAAACCGCCTCTTGTCAACCATGAGCAAATTAGATCAGTGGTGTGCAGCCTGGTAGCTGGCGAGACGATCTGCATCACACTACATAGGTCACAATACGATACAAAGGAATACATCCTGATACTAAACTTTGGAAAAAACAAAGAGGCGCATGTGAGATGCTAGTGTTTCTCTAGTGTGGCACTAGGGAGCGGGAGTGTAAGTGCAAGACTGAATTTCAACGTGTTGATCGAATATATATATATAAAAACGATATGTTTTTTGTTTTTAATTTCTTATTGCGGCATTATATATCACAATACATTGTCAAAGCAAGATTTTCTAATACCCTTATAATACCTTCTAGAGCGAAAATAACCTTATCTAATGCAGGATGTTATCTTTGAGCACTGCTGGCCTCCTTTCCCCGCCACATGCGTACTTATCACCCTCCATTACCGAGGAGTGAGACCCTGGTAAAGCTCTGTCCAGATCTTTACCAGGCTTAAGGACCTGTAGTCCCATTTAGATGTTTGTCTCTCTCTCCTAACTGCCTCTGCCCTTTTGACTCTTGCTCTCATCACTCAAGCAGGTTGTACTGCAGTGTCAATCACACAGGAGCCCGGGTGATCAGTCAGCTCCTCTTTAGTGGATTCTGGGCCATTAGAGAAATAGGCAGACAGGCCCTGGCCAATATCTGATGAGAACCAGAAGAGAGAAGCTGCCTGGGGTTGGGAGTGCCGAGGAAGGGGGTGGAGGGCAGGAGCTGAGGTAGATGTGCCGAACTATGTGGATTGTGTAGTGGAGGGCGCCTCTGTTTTCTATTTGTGAGGATTAGGTTGACAGATCTGTATTTAGTTTCTTTGGGCCTCTAGCATCAACTAATCCCCCTCACCTGCAGCATGGTGCCCCCCTACTCCTTTCCTTCTGACCCCACAGCCTCCTGCCCCCCCTTGTACCCCCCTTGGTCATGAAACAAACACTCATCCTGAGACAAGCGCATGACTCGGCGCACTCTGTCTGCTCAGGTTAGGGCCTCACACTCCACACAAATCTCTTTCGGACCAAAGGAGCAGCGGGGGTCTCGACTTCATAAGAACCCGGCCAACCTGTGGTCCCCTGTGTTAACATTAGTTTTAGCATGGGTGAAGGGTTGTCGCTCATTGCTTGGAGATAGCAATTACTCAGAAATTAAGACCCATTACGACGGAAGGAGCTTGTCAAAGTCACTCAGGGGAGAAAAGAGGACCTTTGGAAAAGCAGCTCATTAGGAAATATTCAGGGTTAGGTCAGGGCCATAGACCTTTTCTCTTTAGATCCTGCTCCCACACACTCTTTCCAGGTATTCACACTGTGAGGGAAAAACTATAGTGCCTTTGCAAACACACACACAGCAGGTCTGACAGCTCCCAAAGATGGTTGCTAGAAATGATTGAGTGCTTTATAACGAGGGCTCTACACAGGAGTTTTTAAATACTGAGATCAATCCTGTTAATACCTTCCTCAAGACTTTACTATCAGTTTACTTGGCAGACCATGTACTTCAATACAGCCTAAGCTCCAGATCATGGGATATGGAGGATATATTCAAGTTATTGTGAGTGAAATTGAACCCAAGACCATGAATATGTGAATTTTCCTATTGTGGCTGGTAAGTTACTGCTCTCTAAGTACAAAAAATGGTTGGCGCGTTTACAAGCAATATGAATTCAGTGTCACGAAACAGAAAGCGTGCACTCATTCAGAAGACACACCTTTGGACATGTAACAGCAAGATCTTGTAAAGGGTCTTATTACTGAATACCACAAAGAGATTTCCATAAGCACCACAAGAATCGACTGAAGTAAACCCACTAAACCACTCCCTGGCAAACACTTACCTTAAGTTTAAGATGGAGGATGACATCAACAAAGACTTGGACCCCATTTTCTGAAAATAAAAAAATATAAATTATACAAATAACGCATTAAAAGCTGTTTTGTGTTTCATTGAAAGGTCATGCTCATAGACTGTATGTCATGCTGTGAAAGTGGCTAATGCTAGGTCGCTATCTATTTTTTTCTGTTTTCTCACTGAAATATTTTCCTAAAAGCAAGCACAGAAAAACACTAATGGTACAACTTTAGCGGTGCTGCGACCATCACCAAACGTGGTGTATAAATGTAATTTAATTCAATTTAATCAATTTTAGATGTATAGATTTTTCTGTGGCCAATCAAATCTCAGATTGCAGCGCACGTGCACGCTGCTAACCCGCTGCTAGCAAACGCGGCTAAGTAGCTAAAAGTCAAATTCACATTTTCAAATTGTAAGAATGGCTTCCCAAGCAAACGAACTGTTCTCTGAAATTGACAAACTTCGCATCCAGTTGCTACATAATGCGGAACAGACAGTCCAACGAGCAGATGAAGAACGAAGAAAGTAAGTAGCTTGTTAGTTAAAGTGTTAGCTAGTTATGGCTAATTAACCAGAGCATCGTGCTCCCCAGCTAAATGTGTCAACACCTCGACAATTTATTAGAAATAATCTTGAAAGAATCTGCTTATTTTGTCTACTTAGAAAATGACTACAAAACCATTACTACTTTGGTTCAGGATCCAGCTATATTCAAAAGTTTCATTTTTTGTCTAATACAAAACGCTATATGGAAACAATTGTGTTTCTCATCTCTAGATCTCAACCTTTGAATATTATAGTAGCAGGAAGGGATGATCTGGAATTATGTCTGCAACAAAAATACTTGGGAAAGAATCATTGTTTTGTACTTTTCTTTTTCTCACTTACAGCAGTGAAATTTTAGCCCTTATTGAAAACATCATTCTGAAGATTGTGACCAGTGTGTCACAAGAGGAGGCGCCTGCCCTGCATCTGCCCAAAAGGTCCAGCTGGGACAATGTCAGGTACTTTCACGAACATTTAATTCAATAAAATAAATTTTTGTACAGCCCTAAATCACAACAGCAGTCATCTTGGAGAACTTACAAAGAACACAAAAAATGCATTAATAACAAACTTATAGAAGCCATTGATCCAAATGGAACGGGGTGACCAATAAATATCCCAGATCCTCACTGACCATTGTTGCCTCCTGCTTCAGCCAGGGGCAACAATGATTACAATGAACATTAGTGCACTTGACTCTGTAAGTAAGTAATCTTTATTTATATACCGCCTTTCACAGACCAGAATCACAAAGCGGTTTACAATTGTTATTTTTGGGCATTTATCTCTCACTCCACACAGAGATGGGAGCGGGATCGCCAGTACAGGAGGCACATGCCAGACCTATTGTACATATTTTTAGTGGTAGGGGAAACCGGAGTACCCGGAGGAAACCTACGCAGACACGGGGAGAACATACAAACTCCACTCAGAAAGGCCCTGGTCCAACCTGGATTCGAACCCAGGCCTTCTTGCTGAGAGGCGAGAGTGCTATCCACTCAGCCACCGTGCTGAGTGGATAGTGGTGTCCCACAGAGGTTTTTTATATCATACCTCTGTGGGACACATGGTATGATATAATATCCACTTCCTTTAAAATATAAACACAAACAGGCGTGTTGTGTGAAGAAATACATGTACTTTATTTGTCATTCTGGGAGGTCAGGCCACACAAGATGATGTTTAATGTCCTTCAAAAGCACTCTTCAGCTCTGTCTGAATTTGATCAAGAGGCGTCTCAAGCCTTTGCAGACACCCAAGTGGTAAAAGCACTAATTTTAGCATTAGGCTTTAAGATCAAATGGCTTCCTCCTCCTTGAACGATCTGATAAGAGACTGAAATGCACACACTTTGAGGCTGTGTTCTCAGAACAAACACACTGTCTAGTCTTGTTTAAATCAAACCTCCCTGCAACTTAAAACACATTCTTGCTCAGCATTTTTAAATACAGGTTGCCGGAGGCTGTGGGAATTTTTCAGTGCCTTTCAGGTGGTGGATCTAATTTTCTTATGCATACAAGTTGTTTATATTTCTTCTCGGTTTACTTTGGTCTCATTCCAGCTTTGACAGTAGTGTTGGACTTCAGATGAATTCAGAAACCACATTCACGGTTGTTAGAAGTGACTCTCCGGCCTCCATCACAAAATTCGGTGAGCAAAAGCATGTCAATCTTCCAAATGTGTGGGTACTGCCAAACCAGACCATATGCATTTAAATCTAGTTCAATAAGATCAGTTGAATTTATTTTTATATAGCCCTAAGTCATCTCGGAGAACTTTACAAAGTTGTGTATTCACCAACAGATCAGAGAATCAAACAGTTCTAACACAGGAAATGTATCAATAGCAAACCTTTAGGAGACATGTATCCATAGGGAGTGGGATGATCAATATCCACAAATATCCATAACTGTCCTTAAATCTTCCGGATCATCACTGTCCTTAGACCCTCTTGTATCTGCAAACAACAACTCAAACCAAAAAACAAAAAAACCTTGGGGAGGCCCATAAAAGCAAAAATGATTTTACCTAATATTTCAGTCTGTTTTCACATGTGCAGCTGGACGTATATCTACTGATTTTATATTTAGAAGAAAATCTATTGCAAATCAAAACTGTCACCATTTTCACAGTATAGTCAATCCGCATACTCCATCTGCGTAGTAAAATGCAAAAAGCCAAGAATTGTATAAAAACCCGATTTCACAACATGCAAAACATGTTTAACAGATCCTTTTTAGTTGGTTCACCGCAGGAATTCAGTGCTTGGAAGCCAAATAACCGAATTCTATTGTTAAAAGTGTGACATTCAGCTTTTGTTTTATGTTTACAGCACAGATTGTTAAGATCCTCACCGTGATTTATGAACTAATTCTAAGCAACTCGTATGCTACTAAGAGGTAGTTATAAACTGGATTATTGTGGTAAAGATGGGGACATTACACTGTTGTATCTTCATAGAGACATCTACTACAATGACACGCAGCTGTTCGGTTCCCAGGCAACCGTGGACCACATTGTGGATGATATCTCCTGCTTGCTAAAAGTTCCTCGGCGGTCCTTGCACGTGGTAACAAACTATTCTTGTTTCATATTTACTTGTGTGTGTCAAAAAGCAGATTCATTTGAAGAAGGAGAATGTTTGCGTTTCGACTTTTGCGTCTTCTTCAGAAAAAAAAATATATATAACTTTCTCATCTGAAATTTGTCTTATTTCAGTCTGAGAGCAAATTTAATCTTCTCCATGGTAAAGTTTTCCTGCACAACATCTGTCCACTCTGTATGGCTGGCTCAGGCTTAAGCCATGACCTTTCTGGCAGCCGTTGACAATATATTTTTTTTGAACCAAGTATTGATCTTTTATAGGGATACTTAAAGTTATTTTATTTACTGAACATTGCAAAGCGCTTGGGGTAACTTTAGTCTTTAGAAATGAGCTAAATTGAAAAAAAAATCATTATTGCTTTCTATTCCGTGTTTTAATTTTCTTTATTTGTGAAGTTGGCCACTTCCAAAGGACTAATCACAGGAGACCTCTGCTACTTGGAAGAAGATGGAAGCAGAATGGACTGTCGGGCTAGCAATACCGTAAGAGCTCCCTATCTTTGATATATAACAATCGTCAATATGCTATTTTATAATATTTTAATTTGTTTAGTAGGCTATTCCAATTTCATCCAACATCAGTGGAATAAAAAGTATTCTTGCTTTCTTTAAAGTAAAACATTGAATATCCTTTTGTGATAACACACAATACACACATGGTTTTCTAACACTCTACAGACATCGTATCATCAGCCAGATTTGTTCTGATCGTGGAGAAAGACGCCACCTTCCAGAGACTGCTGGATGACCACGTGTGCGCCAAACTCTCGCCGTGCATCATGATAACGGTGAGCTAATTGTTGTTGCCACATCACCTTCCAGGCTTTTGCACAGAGCCTGGTTTGGCCTGGGCTAACAGGTGCTCTGTGTGAATCAGGGCAAAGGAGTCCCAGATGTGAACAGCCGTCTGATGGTGAGAAAGCTCTGGGACACGCTGCACATCCCCATCTTTGCTCTAGTGGACGCCGACCCGTACGGTACATTCTTCACCTTCAGCATACAACCAATCTTGAATTTCTTTAAAAATACTGTGCCAACACTAATTATTTGAATGATCTAAAAAGGACTTGAGTTTAGTTTAACTAGTTCAGGCCCTGGAAGCATGATCCGATCCAGCCCTTGTCTCCCAGAAATATATATTTTTTTAAATCTTGGTTTAGTACTGGATTTTTCCTTGTTTAATATTAGTTTTATTTTTCTGCAAGTCACAGTTAATTATAGGTTTGTTCTGGGTTGGGCTGTACCAAATTTTGGAAGATTTCAATATCAAGATTGGTAAATCAAAAGACACTCATTTGGATTACAAAAACAGGCAAGGTTCTTACTTCACTCACTCATGTGTCACTCACCTTTCACAGTGAGTGGCTTAAATATTATGTACAGTTACATACGTTTGTCGATAAAAAATATATAGTTGTCGTCATACCAATTATTTAATTTTGTTTTTAAGTAAAGTACAATCTGAAATCGAGATTGTTCAATATGGGAAAACAAATTATGATTATTTTTTTACCAGACCAGCACTAGTCATGGGACAGACCTGGTTTAGTTTAATCCGAGCTGAATTTTAAGTTTAAGTGTTTTTTTATTTTTTGTACATACATCCAAAATAGAGCTTATTTAATCATTGTTTTAACAGATCAGGAAGTTGTTCAGGATGTTGTGTAACTCAGAAACTCATCAGAAATGTCGGGATGTGCTAAAGGATAAGGCCCTCCGGAAGAGAAAGAGAAAGGAGGAAGAAAAACTAGAAAATGATTGGAAAATGACATTACATTAAAGTTTTAATAAATAGATAAATAGCATAAGGGTTGCTTTCCATAGTATGTAGTCATGTTAAATAGTGACGTTAAATAACCAATCAATTAATTATTGTATCAAAAGACAAAAAATACTGTTTGATTTTTAGAATTGAGTGCATTCTATAGTGTCAGGTAAATAATCTGCTGTATTTAAATATGTAAGCGGTACATGATATGAGGCTAGTACATACATAGTTTTGTTTGTTTTCATTCCATCATGATTTCATTTTACTCAGACAGGACTTTACATAAAAACTCAAGGCCCTAATCTCTCTTAATCTCGAACTGCGGGGTTTGCATGTGTCACTAAGACCCCCAAAACCATTTGCACCTGCTCTGGCCACACGGAGCTCGGTCTGGCTCTTGTTTCCGCTGGTGTGGTCTGTCTCAAACGCAGGATGGCTCAGCTTTCCTACCTCTGCTTCCCCTTTCGCATGGCGGGACACATGTGTAATGCTTTACTTTGTTCTCCAAAACCCGGTTACACGTCGGCGCGGGTAATTGCTCTGGTATGTCAGTGATTGCGGCGCTTCTGTGTCTTTCCCAGGCATCGAGATCATGTGCATCTACAAGTATGGATCCAGGGTAAGTCCTTTATCATGCCCTGGTCAGTGTCTGCCCTAGCTCTATATAATTGTACTCCTGTTCAGGCAGAAAACAGATAGGTCTAGAATATTTAAAGTGACATTTATGCAGTGAAATTGTTGAACGATCGGCTGGCATTGCCCACTGTTTGTAATCATCCTTGTTTATTTTCTATATTGTGAACATGTGTTGGCCAAACCCACATAATGAAGCATAGAGGGCTCCATGTTTATTTTAGCTGCATTTTATTCGGCGCATATGTAAGTGTGTGTGTTGCATGCATTTTTCCACAGGCCATGTCATTTGAGGCTCGTAGTCTGACCGTCCCCAGCGTTATGTGGCTAGGCCTCCTCCCCTCTGACCTAAAGAGGTTTGGACTCGACATTTGCTACTTCCTATTCCCTCCGTCTGCCTTTAATTGGGATTATATTCTAGGGATATTTAAGTTGTTTGTTTTGGTTTCTGTTGCTGTTGCTCTGTTTTTTTCCCCCATTCTGAGACCACTTTAAGTATATATCTTTTCGAAATTGGGGAATAGTGTTGTGCATACATTGAGTGTATAGAGTTGGTTGGGCCTGCACAGTCGGATGTATTTTGACTTTTGTCAGGTTGCGGGTTCCTGAAAATGCTCTCATTCCTCTCACAAAGAAGGATGACGCCAAGCTCAACAGTCTCCTCAAAAGGCCCTATGTCCAAAACCAACCAGACTGGCTCAAAGAGGTGAGAAAAGTGTTTTTGGGAGATACATCTCATAAAGAGCAACCTGTCTATTCTTAATTTACAAAAGCATTGTCATTGTGTAGTGTAATACAAATATATTACATTATTTATATAGTACAAGTTGATTGTTAAGATGGATAGGTAATACTTTATAGATCTTGAAAAATAAATTCAAGTGATACAGAAGTACACACACTTCAGGGACTCGGACCAGAGACTTTAGGACCAGAGACTGTAGAGGACCAGAGACTTGTGATTTGTTATAATGACATACCCCTTATGATTTTGTTGCAGATTGAACTGATGCAACAAACCAAGGTGAAAGCAGAGATCCAGTCACTGGCGGCGATTGCTCCAGACTTTCTCATCAATGTCTACCTGCCAAACAAGCTGCGATACGGCGGCTGGGTCTAGCACTTTGGTGTCCTCTTGTGGACTGGCACAGGAAAGCATTTTGGGAGATTAGTTGGGTTGTAGTTGTTTCACCAGTTTCTTTGAAAAACTGAGATATTTAGTTTATACCTAATAGACAAACTTGCTGTTGTATATGTTCAAGTTGAATTTATGTTGATTTATCACATATCTGTGACCAAATAAAATATGATCTGATCCTCATACACGCAAGCATTTTTATTAGCAATTTAAAAAGTGATCTATTGGAGAAATACTTCCATGCATCTTGTCACATCCTGTCTTATTGATTGTTATATAACACAATAGAAAGCTTCCTTTTGCTGCAGGAGTCATCTAAAAAACATTTTTCATAGTGGTCAAACCTCAGAATAACTTATCAAACCTATCAATCAAACATGACATAAAAAAGATAAAACGAATAGATGCATGTAGTTTTTCCTTTCTGTCTTGTTCTTTCTTTCCTTGTTTTGGTTTCAGTAGAACCAATATTTAAGATCTGGCTAAGCGCAGTGGACAGATGGCTGCTGTCACTTGTCTGTGGGTAGTATTTGGAGCAGTGGAGACTCCTTGTTAGCCCTGCCTATTTCCACACGTCAAGACCAGCTGAGCATGGACTTTGTGAGTCAGTCCTGGCCTCTCAGGTGCCGGGCCTAATGTGGGGAGACATGTTTCGGAAGGCAATTTTCTGCAGCTACTTCAAAGCGGACTGGGATATTTCCAGGTAATGCATGATCCGTGACTATAATCAAATTTCTTCAATATATTTTCTTTATAATTCAGCTGTGTATGTGTTTAGCTTAGGCAGCTTTAGCTTAGACATTTTCATATTGATATAGTGGGAGTAGTAGCATAAAGCTGTCCTATTGCAGTATACAGGTGAAATGTATTTATGTAATTCATCATCTATAATACATGATGTAGACTCATTACAAAGTGACATAATGCCTTGTATATGATTATGGCTTACAGTCGAAAATATTTTTTTTTATTTGGGGTTTTTTATAAGCCCTGACAAAATTATCAACATTATAACAATTAAAAGCGTTGTACATATCTCTCTTTGCATCTTATCATATATTAGTTTGTTTAAGTTGAATTATAGAATTAAGTGGACTTTTGAATGAGATCCAAATTTCCCAAGTTCGTGTATCTTGTAAAATAATGACAGACTTTTTAACGTATGCACTTTTTTCTCTCAGATTACAGATCGCCCAAATGCATGCAGTGATTCGGAAGTGCCCTTTCCTCACCGTTGGATTTACTTCACTCACTGCAAATAAGTGTCCGCTGATGATGAGGTTATCGGGACGACTTCCGACCTGTGCTTTTCATTCTTCTGCAGCATTTTCTCATAAAACAAATGATGGTATAGTATTCATCTTACATATAGAATATTCTGAAAACTATTCTCAAATAATGGATTTACTGTGTCTCAGGGAATGGCACTCTTCCAATTCAGCAAAATGTTTGCTACAAATGTCCGTTCCTGGCTTCAGAGATGGTGCAAAAATACAACAAAGTCATAACAGCAGCTTGTGAGGAGATGCAAGAAGACGTCCATGGTATGTATTGTTTTTGTGCTGTGCATTTGAAGCTAAAAAGTTTCAAATAATGGAATTGCCTCCAACAGGTTCAGAAAATGTGGACTGCTGCCAAAAATCCCCAAAATATGGGGACCTGCTGAAGAACAAACAATCTACAGGTGACAATTTCCCCGATGAATTTGCCTTTATGGGCAGACAAGTATTTTCAGCCAGAAGGACGAGTTTTTATCCTGGTCGGAACAGGGCCTTTCTGAGTGGAGTTTGAGTTTGCATGTTCTCCTTGTGCCTGCATAGGTTTTCTCACGGATGCTCTAGTTCCCCCTACCACTAGAAATATATATTTATTTGTTTTGTTTTTTCAAACATACAGAATATATACCAGCAGGTATTCACAGTAGAAAAAATAACATGAAAAAAACAGAATAATACCTGTTCATGGTTTGAAAAGTTGTTTTTAATCCAATCCCTTCCCTGTAAGTCAGACACTCACTAGAAGCAATACCCTACAGTTCCAATAAACACATGACAGCAATGTGGCCCTCGCACTTATTCACACAGACAATACACAGGCCCAAAACACTCACTAACCTTACACCTCTCTCCTCACTCGCCGTGTGCTGAGGGAATCACTCTCCTTCCTGTTTGGGACCAGTAAAGCATCAACTCAAACTAAACAAAATATGGTTTATTGGCCATAAACCAAACAGGTAGATACAGAAAGTAAATGTTAACTTAATAAGAACTAACACAAACAAATTTACTTCCTCAAATTAAACTTAACCCAACTTGTATACTGCCCAACAGAAGCACACACTTTTCTCCATCCATCCATGTTCTTCCCCTTAATCCATTTCTGGGTCAGGGGGTGGCAGTCAGAGCTGCACCCAGTACACAGAGCACCAGCCCCTAACTGATCACACACGCACATTGATTTTAAGGTGGTCCTAAATGTAGGCCGATTGGTAGAGATGTAGGTCGGCCCTACAGAGATCAATAATGTAAACTTCAACTTTAACATGTTTCTTACATTTTGACAGATACCACCTTCAATTATGATGCGTTTTTCACAAAGATGATTCAGAACAAGAAGAATGACCACACATACAGGATATTTAAGACCATAAACCGGAGGGCTGCCTCATTCCCGATGGCAGACGACTGCTCCTCAGATTTGCGGAGAGATGTATCTGTTTGGTGCAGTAATGATTATTTAGGCATGAGTCGCCATCCAAAGGTTATTCAGGCCGTTGAGTAAGTACAGCATGTTCTCAGACATTGAACGATTGTAACAAGATGAAGTAATCTGGCATTGTTTTCTTTGTTTCATTTTTAGAGACACGCTAAGAAAGAATGGTGTTGGTGCTGGAGGGACACGGAATATTTCAGGGACCAGTGAGTTTCATGTGGAACTGGAGCAGGAGCTGGCAGATCTTCACCACAAAGAGGCCGCACTGCTCTTCACTTCTTGCTTTGTGGCCAACGACTCCACCTTGTACACCCTGGCAAAAACACTTCCAGGTAACAAGAAAGCTTCAGGGTTTAAAGTTGTGTTACAAACTGTTACAACTGTGTGCTGTGTGTTATAAAGGCACTGTTTGTTTTCTTGTGGGAGGAAACTACCATAGTGGAAGGTTCTGCGACATCAGAATCAGAATTATTTTTTCTACCATTGTAAGTGAAAGGAAGTCACAAAGTAGGAATTTGCTTTGGTATATGGTGCAAGTAAAACATATATATAAAGGCATGCATAAAACATCTTAATACAGAGGTGTCAAACTCGTTTTGGTCTGGGGCTGAATACAAAAAATAGTAACGGTCAGGGCCTGAAAGAAAAGAAGGGATTTCCTTTTCTTATAATTGCTTTCTACATAATGAAGGCATTTTTATGTGACGTATGAGTTTTACTATTATTATCTGGTTGATTTTTCGGAAAACAGTGTTGTGATTAGATTTTGAGATTCAAGAATTTGTTTGCCATTTTCAGTAAAACTACATTTGGAAAACTGTGTGCCATGTTTGCAACAGAAGTTCATGATATTTGCAGCGATTGATCCAAAACAACTCGAGGTCTGTCTTTGAGGAGAGAACAATGTTGAAATGTGGTTAAATGAGAGAATAAGTCAATGTATCCAGTCAAAGTTTACCCTGTGGCATTTATTCAATTACATTTAGTGTTTCTCAAGAATGCCCTCGGAAACGAGAGTGACCATGTTGACCATATATTGACAGGAGATGCAAAACACAGTTAAAACACACAGCTTCCACCAGAAAAGTCCAGAAAAGTTAAATGTGCTTTAACCTTATTGCTGAATCTTCTTCCAAAGGTTGTGAAATCTACTCTGATGCTGGCAACCACGCCTCAATGATCCAGGGCATTAGAAACAGCGGCGTCAAGAAGTTTGTTTTTCGCCACAACGACGTCAGCCACCTACAAGAGCTCTTGAGGACGTCTGACCCCAACACTCCAAAAATTGTTGCCTTCGAGACCGTTCATTCAATGGATGGTATGACACACTGCCTCTGCACCTGCTGGATGTAAATTATGTGGTTTATGCATGCTGTAACTGAATGGTTTGCTCTTTCTATAGGAGCGGTGTGCCCTCTAGAGGCGATGTGTGATATTGCACATCTTTATGGGGCCCTGACGTTTGCAGATGAGGTGCACGCTGTGGGTTTGTATGGGCCCCGGGGAGGAGGTATTGGGGACAGGGACAGAGTCATGCACAAAATGGACATCATCTCTGGCACGCTCGGTGAGCTATATGCAAAGACTTGGTGAGCTAGCTTTTAAGAAAGGCTCCTGTTTGGTTTTATGTCAGTTTTTTCACAAGCCACATCATTACTATGTGCTATGACAATCAAAGAATGTACAATTAGAAGTTAGATGTCTGTAACATGTGCCTTTTTTCCCTTTAATGGTTCCCTCAACCATTTGGTAGATTACTTTTTGATTCACTATACTTGGAGCTTGAAACTGAAATACCTCTTTGGGCCATACCACATGGTTATAGGCACTCAAATGGAATCTCAACCATTTGGTAAAAGCCTAAAAATAAAACTTAGGGAAAATGAAAAAAATGACATTGCTTTCTTCAAGGATTGAACATTAAAGTGTTAACACTAAAGTTCTTTGTTAGTGATGGTTTTGCCCTGGACATGTCTTTTTTTCTCTTTTTAGTTGAGTAAAACTAAATCTTCAATAAGAAAACTATGTATTTATGATCTTACTGTGGATAATGAAACCATGCTGTGGAGAATGAACCCCCTTCCCTCTCTGCTTCCAGCTGTTATGTATTGAACTATTAAGTCAACATAGTGATTACATTTGGCATTTCAAGCTATTTCAAGCTATTATCGTCTGAACGCGAACAACTCACTGACCCAAATGCGTCTGTCTTAGGCAAGGCTTTTGGCTGTGTGGGCGGCTACATCGCAGGCACCGCTGCTCTGGTCGACACCGTGCGATCCTACGCTGCAGGTTTCATCTTTACCACGTCACTGCCGCCCATGTTACTGGCCGGAGCCAAGGAGTCGGTGAGAATTTTGAAAACGGAAGAAGGCCAGGAGCTGCGGAGGAGGCATCAGAGGAGCGTCACCCTGCTGCGGCAACTGTTAATGGACGCTGGGCTTCCTGTGGTTCACTGCCCGAGTCACATCATCCCAGTCAGAGTAAGGAAAAAGTGCCACAAGGAAGGAATTATGCCAGCTCCAGGAACAGGGAAAACAAAACAGGACTTGAATAGTATGAGCAGAACATTGGAAGCAGGTTATTTATTGTCAGAAATATTTCAAAACTGCTTTGGTAAGAAGTTTGTTTTGGGACGTATTTGTACAATAAAGTTCAATACAGTGATTCCCAGCCTGGGCCTGGTCCCCAAAGGTTTATAAAAAGAGGTTGTAAATAGAATATCAGAAAGGAGCAAGAAAACATGAACATATATTTTTACAACTAAGATGCAGCTGTCAGCAGATTTTAGGAGATCTAAAGGTCCCCCGTGTGATTTGTCTGAGAGGGAGTGGAAAGTATAATACCACAAAACCCCGACTTTATTATACAACCTTCCATCACATACACACATCAGTCTCACCTCAGTTCTTCATATTGATACTGTCAAAACACTGCTTTATTCAAGTGTTGGAAGTGATGGATATTTTGACAGTGACTTTGTCTGAAAAACTATTCCACTGTTTACACCACAGACCGAAACACAATGTAAAGTTATGAATAAAGCGTAAAGTGATGACGTCCTTCCCTTTAGAGAAACTTGTTGGATATCTCAGGGTTGTTGTTTGTTAGATGCTTTGTACATTCTTTGTTAGGATTGAAAAGCAACTATGTCTCTGAGTGTAAGTAGTTTTGAGTGCTATTGGTAATGATCCTTGTGAATGTTTCTTATTGGCTATGAAGTCATTTTTAATACAGCTTCCATCCAACTTTTTTATTACCTTGAAATATTCTGCAGGACATTCTAAAGTATTCATCCCCTTCACTTTTCACTTTTCTATATTTTGCAAAGCTACAGCTATATTCCAAAATGTATCAAGTTCTTACCATTTCCTATAGTTGCAAATATCCTATAATAACAAAGTCAAATAAATGCTTATAAATGTGTTTTGACAGTGTTGCAAACGTCATAATTGTCCCGTACAGGTGGCGGACGCAAAGAAGAACACGGAACTCTGTGACGTCATGATGTCTCGGTACAACGTATATGTTCAAGCCATCAACTATCCGACTGTGGCGAGAGGAGAGGAGCTGCTGCGCATCGCCCCCACGCCGCATCACACTCCACAGATGATGTACGACTTTGTGGGTGCGTCTGAACTACACTCTCTGCTGCTTACAAACCGTAACAAACACAAGCTGCTGGCACCACATTTTAACAAAGATACAATTTAAGTCACAAAACTGCTCAAACAAGTCTCCATCAGACTCTCTATGACCAATCCCCCAGGCCACTAACAGCCAGGACAGAGCTGCCATTTCAAAACTAAAGTATTCCCTAAATCAGTGGTTCCCAAAGTGGGGGTCCCGACCCCCCGGGGGGTCGCGGGAACCCCTGGGGGGGGGTCGCAAGATGATTTCCAAAAAAAAAAAAACATTTTGCTAATTAATAGCCCTTAAATATTGATTTAGCATTTGATTTGATTCAAAAGGACTACTTGTTAAATTGTGTTAGGAGAATATAAAATATTTAAATTACGTTTGTAATTTTGTCCAGTCATTGACAGCGTCAATCAAAATCAAGTTACGCAGCTTACGTCACGCAGCGACAAAGCGTGTCCAGCTGTTGTTTGCTAAAACTAAAGGTGTTTGGAGGCTTCAAACAGATAATACCTGCTTTAAAATGAAACGTGGTTAATATCCACAACAGAAAAACCCGGAGGGAGAGAAAAGTCACATGTGAGGTCAGGCTGATGGTGCGAAGAGAGGGAGAGAGGGCAGCGGAGGGAGAGAAGGCAGCGGAGGGAGAGAGAGCAGCGGAGGGAGAGAGGGCAGTGGAGGGAGAGAAGGCAGGGGTAGAACAGCGCGGTAAAGAGGCCCGGCTTTTCGGAATCAGTGATAAAGAGGTCCGCACATTAAAAGCGGGTGGCTGCTTTATGCTGTTACTTACAGTAACTTTGGAAAAAGAAGCCGCGGGGATGAAGCGCATAAAGTAACAGCAGAAAGCGGCCGCCCGCTTTTAATGTGCGGACCTCTTTACCGCTGACTCCGAAAAGCCGGGCCACTTTACCGCGGTATGAGAACAGAGAGGGCGAGCCGCAAGAAATGCGCTCCACTTCTGCTAAGAAGGGAGCCCACCAAGCCCATCACTGTGTCACTACGTGAGTAAAAATATGCAAGCCTCATTTTTTGGGCTGGACAGTGCAGCTCAGTAGTGGCGCGAGTCTCTGCGTTACTCCGTATCAAGGAAATACATGCTCATTGACGGGAAGGACTGTTGAGGTGGGGGGTCGCGGGGGAGCAGCGCATTTATGATGGGGGTCGCGGGCTAAAAACTTTGGGAACCCCTGCCCTAAATTACAATCGGGAATTCCTCACATTCCCAATTAGATCTATTTCATTCCGATGTTGCATTTTTGGACCATCTTTTATTCCGTTTTGATGCATATCCACTTAATGATTGCAGTATTTATGATGTTGGGACAGCATGGCACTTGTTTTGTGTTCAATTCTCAAGTTGCGTTTGCATGTTCTCCCAGTTTGTGTGTGTGTGTGTGTATGTAGGTTCCCTCCGGGTGCTCCAGCTCCCCCTACCACTGGAAACATGCACAATAATTCAGGGGGAATTAATGTGTGTTTGTGAGTGTGACTGTGGGACTGGTGAATTTACCGCTGCTCATTAATACGGACTGTACCATTTAAATTAACAAAAAAATAATAATAAATGCATTTTGTTGAATGGCCAATGTGATTATGACTGAAATACCTGACTTTGTGGATCAACAGATTGCCTGGTGAAGACGTGGAAAGCCGTGGGCCTGACCTTTGCGCCTCACTCTTCAGCTGAGTGCACGTTCTGCCAGCGGCCTCTTCCTTTTGACCTCATGAGCGAGCGGGAAAAGTCCTTCTTCACGGGCCTCAGCCAAAGGGTACCTGCAGTGGCATAACATGGAGAAACACGCACATGTCTGAGAAGGCAGGGGACATGCGACATTTACACTATGACTGTTTGGTTGGGTTTTATATTTCAAATTTCTAGACGAGCCATGAGATAAGCAATTTCTGATATAGAGTTGGTTGATGATTGCTTTTTGGTTTTGCACGGGTGAGGGTAAACACAAGAGCAACTACAGTATTATGGCAAAAATAAGGCAAACAATTTGGGCTTTATACTGTAGATATGATTGGGTTCATTTTACACACATTTCACATTCATACTTTTATACAATAATCATATATGAATTTTATATAGCGCTTTACAAAAGTCTTAAGGACATCCACATTCATTCATAAAATCTTAGCAACGATAAAAGATGTAATACTACCGTGATGCTAGCTCTGAGCTGTAGGTTTGGAGAAAGAGGAGTTAAAGTCCGTGTAAAGATATGGTTGAGGAACTTCATTAATAATTTTGTAAACATTATTTATTATCCTTTGCCTATGTAAATGTTATACTTACATAGTCATAGTCATATTTATTCAATGGATACTGTATGTCAGACAAATACTGTAGTTATGTGCACCATAGTTTTTTTGCATAGGGAAAATATGTTTGACCTTAATAACCTGTAATTAAAGTATATAGATTTACATACATATTCATGTAAAATATCTCCCTCAACCTGTTAAAAAGAGCAGAAAATGTCTGTCTGCCAACGCTTCTCTCTATTATTATTCAAAGTATTCATGCATACATGTCATACATGCTCATGTAACTTAATACAGGTTCAAAGTGCTCTTCCCATCGCTGGAAATGACAAACTCAGAGGCTGATGTTGACTTAGAGACACTTAAACGAGATTAGCAGGAGCCAAGTATCCAGTCAATTACTCCGCTATGTGTAGTGGAATGTGCAGAGCGTGATGTAAGCTCGTCTGTCAAGTCCATTCACAATGTGCGTGTTTATAATGTGTGTTGCGACCACGGGGGGCACACGTGTTCTCTCTTTCGAATCTGGCTCTTACATCAGGCTGCACCCTCCCCTCCCCCCCTCCCCTCCCCTCCCCCCCTCCCCTCTCGCAAATGACTCACAGCTGCTGCCAACCACTTCCAGGAGAAACCACTAGATGGGAGTGATAGAGAACAGGATATTGTCTGTGCGCTGTGGAGATAAGATTGAAAGGAAATTGATTCCAGCGTTTCTTTGTAATAAACTTTTTATTTAACAGCATTAGGATATGTTTAAATGCACGTTATTATATGCCTCTTTTATATTAGTTTTAACCAGCTTTTGCGCTTTATACCTTATTTAGTTTCCTAGATAAGGGCAATAAAGCCTTTTTCAATGAGGTGTAAATGCTGTATCCTTTATGCCTAGTTACCTACAGTCCACACCAGTATTCATGTTGGATGCCAAGAAACACACAAGTGCTTAGGACAGAGTGAAGTACTATTTCCTCCCTCTCCTACGACCAAATCACTTTGTTGGCCGTTACATAACCCACACAAATGGTGGTGGTGGAGGGGAAAGCAGTCAGGTGACCACTGGTATCATGTAAGTTCACAGTCAAACTAAAGATAGCGTCGGGAATACTCTGATACGAGGGAAAATCACTGCAGATTGTAAAAATCGGCTCATTACTGGGGCACACCTGTTGATTTGGTGCCTTTTTAGCGTTGTATGTTGTCGCTGGGGTTGCAAATGATGGACTGTTCTGTGTTCATTTAAAGCTGGGGTATCTAATTTTCAGTCTATAGAAATATATTTTTAATGTAATAAAACCGATGTTGCTAGTTCCTTGCTCTCATATTGGTTCCATTACTAGTTTCCACATGTATCTATTTGCAGGCCTCTGTCCCAGCTTCAAATCAGCTTTTTCAGACAAAAAAGTGAGAGAGAGAGACAGAGAGACTTCTTATATGCAAAAGATAACATTTTGAAAACATTTTAGACAGCTTGTTCTCTCAATGATACTAGTGCATGGATTGACCTTTTAGTGTTGTCTACTGAATTGAAAATCATATTATTCAATACTAAAATTACTGTTGAAACTATTTTTAACAAACTTCACTAACAGGACCTATTCTGAACAGTGAAGGAAAATATTGTTATATTTGTTCCATTATTAAAGTTAAAACATGACTTTCTTGTTACAGGTGAAACTAAAACAATATTGTTCATTTATTTATCTAATGCAAATTCAAAAATGTGAAACCGATTGATGATATAGACTCATTAAATACTAAGTGACGTATTCCCAGTCTGTTATAATGTTGATGACTATGGCTCACAGTCCAGTTTCACAATGTTTTATTTGGGTTTTTACAGCTGTGAGACAATCATCAACATTATGAAATAAAAGGCTTGACATTTTCACATATTAGTTTCACATTGTCAGATAAAATACACTAATATGTAAATTCACCTTTTTGAACACTATTTGAATTTTCCCAGTTTCACCTGCTCATGCAAACCGTCCAGAGCAGTAGTCTCCAGCCTGTAGCTCGAGAGATACAAGTAGCTCACCACCCATTTTCAGGTAGCTCCCCAAAGGATTCAGGACTATACATGATCCTAAATGGTTAAATTTTGAGTCATTGCATATCTTTTCAGATTCAGACTACTTTATTTTTCCCACCAGAGGAAATTTGTTTGAGCAGCACAGGGCATAAAAACATAAAAAACACATAAAACACAGGAAATATCTGATAGTAACGTAAGCAATACGATATGAAGTGGAACATGAGAACATAATACAATAAAAAACACCAAAGTCCATTTCACCAACAGGCTACAGAGAGTTCAGTCTAACGGCGGTTTGGGACCAAAGATTTTAAAAGACAATTGGTTTTACAAAATGGTGCAAAGTGAACTCATCAGTCAAAACATGATCAGGGGACGATAATGCAAGCCTTTGTCACGATCTGCTGGTGACAGAGACCAAAGAGTGACCAGAGAGTGACCAGTGAGAGACCAGAGACAGACCAGAGAGAGACCAAAGAGTGACCAGAGAGTGACCAGAGAGTGACCAGAGAGTGACCAGAGAGTGACCAGAGAGTGACCGAGAGCTGACATTTCCATCTGTCCAACCCCAATGACTTTTGAACAGAAGTGGACAATTCTATCAACACTATTTTTGTCTTAGCGCGAAAGAAAAAACTATTTTATCCACACATGTTGTCATTGTATTCACTAGTGTAGGGTTGTACAGTGATATACTACATTTTACATGAGTCTTGTCCATGATTTTCCGCACTTATTACATAGACTACAGTTTTATTGCAAGTGCAAAAAAAGAGTAGCCATTTCTGTTACATAAAAGTAGCTGTCCAAGCGAAAAATGTTGAAGGCCCCTGGTCAAGAGATAGTTAAAAGAAAGCATTGAGCCTTTGCTTTGATATCAACATTTTTAAATGTTTAGTTTTTGGCTTGATTATGGGGATTATGTGTGCGGCTGCAATGCTGTTTTTTTGTGCCTGTAGAAATGCTGTTGATAAAGGAGGTTGCTGGTTTGCTGTCTGCTCATGTGTCTCTGATCGGTACATGGCTGAAGGCTGTTGTGTGTGTGTTTGTGTGTGTGTGTGTGTGTGTGTGTGTGTGTGTGTGTGTGTGTGTATGTATCCACCGTTTTAACTCCCTTCCTTCATTCTGTGCTAATCCCAGCGTGATGCACATCTGTGTCTCTCCCGCTCACGTGTGCGGACAGATGATCCCCCCTACACACACACACACACACACACACACACACACACACACACACACACACACACACACACACACACACACACACACACACACACACACACACACAGACACACAGACACACACTCCTCCCTCCCTCCCTCCCTCCTCGCGCCTACATGCTCCTCTCCAGCTCTGCACTCATTCACTGTTCGATGCATTATTTTACACTTCAGTACGAGGCAGGCAGACTGAAGTCTTTCTAACATTGGACAGATAATGCAAAGTAGTTTCATTTTTTTTTTCCTCTGGTCACACAGTAATTCAGCGTGAAAACAGAGGAGATTCCCTGCTCTGGGGGATTGAAATCAATTTGTGTTTTTTTCCTTCTGTTTGTTCTGTAAAACTGAGAGGTTGTTGTTCTTGTTTTACTGTCCCGAAGAAACAATGCTTTGATTTAGTTTCAGTTAAAGCTGCACTTTCATGGGGGAGAGTGTGTCACCGGCTGGTTTTCATAGAAATATTAAAGTTCCAGTTATTTAAATGTCTATAACAAAACAGCTGATACAACCAGGTCTTATGTATGAAATGGTTTACCACCGAGGAAAAGAACTGAAGCTGTAAAGCGCTTTGTGTGTTAGGGCTGGATAAAGAGATGTTTGAGGTGGGCTTCCCAAAGTTGGGTCTGATACGCAACCAAGATATGACATTTACAGTTAATAAAATGTACACATATTTTAAAATGGTAACAACATAAATAGTGATGCTGACAACTTTTAAATGAAAATGTGATGGGGGCTCTTAATTTTTTCATACTTAAGAAATTTTATTGTGCCTTTTTCTTTCTCTACTTTCTCTACTCGACTTGTTTGCACCGAGAGCCAAAGCAATTTCCTATAGTCTTTGACTTCCTGTTACTTACATGCATGGCAATAAAAATGATTCTTATTCTGATTTATATAATAATAATATAATATAATATCTGCTCTATGAGGTGATAGCTTTAGTCTGTGGCTCAGAGAATAGACTTTAAATCAGCTCTGCTTGTGTACCAGTCTCTCCATGGCCTCGCACCAAAGTTCATAAGTGACATGTTAGTGCCATATGAACCAACTTGGACTCTGAGGAGCACAGGGACTGGCCTGAGTCAGGACTAAACATGGGGAGGCAGCATTTCAGATTTATGCAGCTAAAATTTACAACATTCTTCATAAAAATGTGAGACTGGCTTCTCAATGTTCAAATCCAGATTACAAAAAGTTCTGTTTAGCCGTGCATTTAACTGAAATATTGTATCTTAGCCATTTTAATGTACCTTGATTATGTATTATTTTATTTGCCTTGTTTGATTTTTTTTTTCTATCTTGTTTTGTTACCTAGTTGCCTTGCGTATCAACTAGCCTTGCCTAGTCTGTCAAAAGTAACACACCACTTACCTAACCGAACACATTACACAAGTAGATACAGTGTGGTTTGATAGAAAATATACCTTATACCAGCGGTTATTAAACTGGAACAACAGAGCCTTTAGAATATATCAAAAGTGCATTACTTTTGACTTGACCTACATTTACACAACAAATCAAAACACACACAGAATCATATAGTGAAAAAGTTCGTTTGAGCCCTCCCTGCTATGACTTTAAATCACAAGAAATAAACTCCTCCCTCTTGAGTTGCTCCACTGTCAACTACAAGAAAAAGCCTCGTGCGTCGGAATGGATTCGACAATGTGCGTAATGGATTTTGGCACGACAAAGTGATGAAGAGTCTGGCTGTGATTACGCGCGTACGTGGAGTTGAAGCGGACTGTTTCGGGGTCTCCTGGCCGCTCGGATCGCGTTCTCTACACTCGGACTGATGGAAAGTGAGCAGAGAAAAGCTGGGCTCTCACTTCACTCTGGCTCTGGCTCTGGCTCTGGCGCCGCGCACCGCTGGGGCAGATAGAAGGCACTGAGGCAACTTCTCTCGGGCGTAAAAAAACAAAAATGTAGTTGATCTCCGCTTCAGTAGACATGTAGTGAGAGTTCAGGCTGCTTATGTTAGAGTATTGTTGTGTCCGATATGTCTAATGAGACGCCGAGTAGGAGCGCGGAATGGCTGCAGCGCGAGTTGGAGTCCGGGGGTACTTCTCTGCTCCTCTTGGACTGTCGTTCACATGAGCTTTATGAATCATCCCACATCGAGACAGCCATCAACCTGGCCATCCCGGGACTCATGCTAAGGAGGTTCAAGAAGGGCAATATCCCCATCCGGACTATCATCTCCAACAGCGAGGACAAGGACAAGTTCCTGAAGCGGTGTAAGACAGACGCGATAGTGGTGTATGATGAGAGCTCCGTGAAGTGGCAGGAGAGCGGACCGCCGAGCGTGCTGGGGCTGCTGCTGCACAAGCTGTGGGAGGACGGGTGCAAGGCCTACTACCTGGAAGGTGGGTGCCTTTTTGTTTTACGCACTAACTCACTTTAACTTTATGATGTGACTTTGTGTAAGAGAGGGGCTGCATACTTTCATCACGTAGTATTGTAATGACGCTGTAATAATGGCACATGTTCCACACAAGCTTCTGTAGCAGTATGGATGTCATGTCTGTACTTTGAGAATTGCTAAAACTACTGCTGCCAGTGGTAATGGCTGTAAAGTAGTGGCAGTAGTGGTGGTGTTAGATTATAGCCTGGACGTGTGCGATAGTCTTCCTATCACAGTCTCGGTAAAGTCGTTAACCCTCGTCTATATCATTAGTTTCCATTGTGTCTTTTCACGGGCTTCATGAAGTGTCTCTCTGATAAAAGTTTGCGTCACTGAGATTCTTAATTAAAATTCCAAAATGGCCGCGGCATGTTTTGCTCCTGCAGGAACAGGCATGCATTTCATGAATGGTATTTGTCAGGGGACCTTGAGTTGACCCAGTTGTGACTACAGATTTAACTCTCGAGGAGTGTGTTATAATAATGTGACGGTATAATAATGTATCATCTCTAACCTTGTTGTTTGGTTTGTGGTCAGGTGGATTTCTTAAGTTCCACACAGAGTACCCAGATCACTGTGAGACCCTCTTGGACAGCCCCTGTCCCACCTCCTCTCCTCCTTTGTCTGTGCTGGGCTTTGGAAACCTCCGGATCAGCTCCGACTGCTCGGACGGAGAGTCTGACCGTGAGCCCAGCAGTGCCACAGAGTCAGAGGAGAGCCCTATTCCCAACAACCAGCCGGCGTTCCCTGTGAAGATCCTGCCTTATCTGTACCTGGGCTGTGCCAAAGACTCCACCAACCTGGACGTCCTGGGCCAGTACAACATTAAGTACATCCTCAACGTCACGCCCAACCTCCCCAACATGTTTGAGCACGAGGGCCACTTCAGGTACAAACAGATCCCCATCTCAGACCACTGGAGTGAAAACCTGTCCCAGTTCTTCCCTGAAGCAATATCTTTTATTGGTAAGTTACGTCTAATCTGTTTCCTTGTGTATCTACTTATTTTGTAAACAATGAATAATAATGAATAATTCTAGTTATAATATAATAGTAATAATATAGTAAATCATTTTATTTATTTTTTTGGATTTACAACATTAAGCATTACTTTTACACAGATCTGATTCTTCCCCAGTCACTCGTGCTGCATATTTTTTCATTCACAAACACTGACCACAGCTGCTGTAACCACATGCTCGTCTTGTTTGTGTGCTATGGCTTAGTGTCATAAACTAGTTTTTGAAAGGCGTTGGGGGCGGAGCCCCAGCAGCTGAAGGAAAGTCAGTTTCCGGCGCTGACTGCGGCTGTGTTCTACATAGACTCTCATGTTGTATCACTAACGCAGCCTCAGGCCTCAGCCTTAGCTCTTGTTTGGTTTACAGTTGTTTGCCCATGTCTGTCTGCAACAGGATATTAGACACATGACGGGCTTTGTACATGCAGGCCAAAATGAGCCTTTTTGTTGCTAGCTTCCTGTTTTTGCATCTACTGCCAAGTAAACAAGAGTATTTCCTTTGCATAGACTACTTTCTTCAGGAAACTGAAATGACAATATGCTGACCACATATCCTCTTGTGCTGACAGATGAGGCTCGGTCCCAGCGCTGTGGCATCCTGGTGCATTGTTTGGCTGGTATCAGCCGCTCGGTCACGGTCACTGTTGCCTATCTGATGCAAAGACTCAACCTTTCCCTGAATGATGCATACGACTTTGTCAAGAGGAAAAAGTCTAACATTTCTCCAAACTTTAACTTCATGGGCCAACTTCTAGACTTTGAGAGGACACTGGGGCTGCACAGTCCTTGTGATAACCGCTCCACAGGTAAAGAGCAGCTGTTCTTCACCACTCCGACCAATCACAATGTCTTCCAGCTGGACACTCTGGAGTCCTCATGAGGAACTATTTGACAACTTCCAATTATTTTTAGCTTGTCGGCACAAGCTAAAAGACAGTATTTCCATGTCTAGTATCTACCAAAAGGAAAAACATTGAATGAAGCTATGTGCAATAAGCTTCACGTAACGCCTTAACACGGACATTCTTTTCAGGATTCTCAATATTCATAAATAATGGACATTTTCTGTAACTTTTCTATAATCTTTTGGATGTTTGTGACAACGACTGTTATGAGCTTTTCACCTGCTGTCAACTATATAGCCTGTGTTTTGGTCTGTTCAATGTTAGTATGCCTTGATTGTCCAATGGGAGGCTTAGGCCAGTCCGATTGTTTTCAGAGGACCAATCGTGGATATTACAACGGTACTGAAGGAAATAAGCTTCTATTATAACCAGGATGTTTGATCCATGTTTATGCTTTGTTATTATCATATGGAAGTTACTATCTAAGCATTCCCAAAAAGTACAATGTTGTAACAATTAGTGTTTTGCATATACGGATCACATGAATGCAACGATGGCCTTGAGTTGAGCATAACAAGCTTTGAAATAATGCATCATTGAGGGTGGAGCACAAAATAGGATGGGCTGTTGCCTTGAACAACGGTAACAAATATGTAATAATGCAAAACCCATATGTGAATTCATGTGTTTAAAGGGGACATAACCTACAACTTTTCTCTGCTTTTGGCCATAGTACAGTTGTTTTCCCTTGCACTTTACACACAGAGCTGTTTTTAGCACGATTCTTACATTTTAGGTTATCTAATTACGCATGTATACGCTCCCCACCATTGCTCTCCCCTCAGTCCTCTGACGGCCGGCCCCTCACTCCTCCCTCGTGTTTTACTTAGGGTTATTCCGACATAGGGGCATGGCTGTGGAGCACAAGTGGGCGTATGCCGGGTTCCTACAGGGTCCTAAAAAATAAAAGAAGTATTGAATTTATTAATTTGAAAAAGTCAGTCACTTTTTGAACTGTGGAGAGATTTTTTATTTATTTTTCATCCAAAGACACCACCTGTTAGACCCACCCATTCTCACCCCCACTGCTTCCTGATTGGACAGAATTCATTTAAATCCTTGATACACAGAAAATCCAGTAAATTCCAATAAGAACTATTGTATTAATATATATTGGTTTTGAAAAATCCTTTTTTTACGTTACACTGCAGGGTCATATAGTAAAGAATAGGCACTCTTTTAAAATGAAATACATTTGAAGTGGCTGACATTACCTTTAAAATCATTGAATAAGTCTGGAAATGTGATATTTGAGTCTTGACATGTGTGCAGTGTGTAACTTCTTCGTATCAAACTCTCCTCAAAAGTTTCATTTGTCAACCACTGTTATTGTGATCAAATTACGTAGACGCGACTCACTCTCTGGTCCAAACTACAACACAACACAGACCACAAGAAAACAATCCAAGCTGAAGCACAAAAAGTCATTCTCACAATTGTTAGAGAAGTTCTTGTGAAATAGGCTGTGGTAGATTGTCTGGAAAAATATTTGAATTTATCTGAAAGAAACCTGTAGGAACCCTGTTAAGGTGGAGCCACACAACTAATATCTTTACCTAAACATCTCACATGAACTATGTATATAAAAAGGAGCCACAGAGGTCATTAATCAGGCAAACTCACGCCCTCAAGACCATTTTTAGTTGCCCCTGAAATGATTTTCACTTATCTTTATCACATTTTCCTGCAGCATTGATGGTAAGGGGCTACTATGGCATGTTAGGCTTCATTTTAAGACCTATTATCTCAGGAAAATGACCATATAGTAGAAGTAAAAGTTACAGGTTCAAGAATTTACTCAAGAATTTATTTGCTATTTGCAGAACAACCACATTAGAAAAACTGTGCTTCGACTACCCCAGTGTGCACCAGGATAGCACGCACCAGAGCTCTTGCCACGGCGCGGAAAGTTACTTAATCTGTCTTCCAATAGATCTCTTGTTTGATATTTGGCCCAGTTGTGATTGAATACAAACCTACTACAACATAATATCCAGACTTAATAGAGACAAAAGACAAAAATATGTAAAAAACAAAACGAAAACTTTTATATCACTTATTCTTTTGGCCCCAATCAGCTCTTTTGTTTATTAATTTGGCCCCTGACAATCATACTGCAGAGAAGAGAATCTGGTTATGTCTCCTTTAAAACAAAAAACCTGACAGCTATACTTTCTCTGGCACAAAAGCATTAAGGGAAACATTTGAGAAAGAAAGCAATTTGGCTCATCTGTTTATACCTCACCACGTTCAGGGATTTTTATACTCTCGTCTCGTCGCAGTCCCAGTGCATCCAGGCAGGAGCTGTTTCCTGTTGGAGAGATGTACATACGCCGTAGATACTACCGTTACAGGAATGCTTTCTCACCATGGATGTGAAAAACGCCCTGTCAGTTCAGCTCTGTAAAGTATATAAGACATTCTGTACATACGTTTATACAAATATAACGTCTATTTTTACTTGAAGACTGCCTCCGTGTGTCTGTATCTGTGTTCGTGAGTCGGCTTTTTGTTCATCCTGGTCAAGTTGTTATCACTACTACACTATTTAATACACTGCAAAAACATAAAATAAGGCAGAACTATACAGTCTGTGGGCAGTACCTCTTGAATCCAGATTTTGTCTTGGATATTCTACATTTTAACTGGTCTTGAAACAGATTTTGGACAAGCTAAACAATTCTTTTTTCAAGGCAATAGCAATATTTTTCTAGTTCCAAGTGAGAATTTGCCTTAGAATGTTCGTTTGAGAGAATATTGTTTTAAGACACATTTATTCAAGAATTGTTTCCAGTGCAAGGACAACATTCGATTTTTCAAAACAATTATCTATCCTTTTAATACAAAAGAATAGTATAGTGCTGCTAAAAATAGTATTAAAGCTGGGGTACCAAACTTCAAAAAGACAGAACATGGAAGTGTGTCGTTAAAATCCATGTTTCTCGTTCCTCACTCTAACACATTCACGCATTTTGGCCTCTGTTATATTTTTAGACCTGCTTTTTCAGACAGAAACGTGAAAAGTAGATGACCACCCTCAATCAGCCAATCAGCACTCAGCTCAAAGAGTCAAATATACGGGGCTCTTTGTCGCAAGTATGCAACAGATTACCATTTTTTTTAAATTATACGTTGTGGTCGAATTTGTTCACAATATTCTACTTTTACAAGTTTTGTTTCTATTGGGACAAAAAAACTTAGAATTCATGAAACAAAAAAAGTAGTATTACTTGTTGCCATTAATAGTTCTTTTAAGACTTTGCTTTGATTTCCACTTGAAATAATACTTGTCAATTGTCTTGTTTTCTCATTTTATTGTTCAAGAAGCATCCAATGTTGTCCTGTTTTTTAGTATCCATACTGATTGAAATGATTTAAATTTCCATATTATTAGATTTTTCATACTTTTGCCCTCATTGAGTCGTGTGAATGCAGGCTTCCTTGGGCCGGTGGGCGTGGTCGCTTGTCACTTTTTGTGTGGACTGGGATGCTTGCTTCCTGTCTCTCACGGGCCTTTGACACAGAGACAAGTGACAGGGCCAGAACTGTCAATAGCAGAACGCAGACACACCCACGAGCAGTCCGTCAAACAGGCCCAGAGGAAGGACTGCTGTGCCCCACGTACAGTGGCCTGTCACTGCGTGCGACATCACTCAGCCACACGCACATCTACACTTTCACTTTTCTGCAGCGTTCAGAGAAATGTCTTTATTTAAATACGCATACTAACACAGGGCCGTCCAAACCTTTTTAGTTATAGGTGGCGACAACCTGGATTACATTTTGTCAATGTACACTTTATGCCACCCACTTTGCTTCACAGATTTGGACTGGATTTGGCCTGAGCTATAACAGAGCTGGAGTTGGCTGAATGACAAAATGTTTATCGTCTCACCAGCTACATTAGCGCCAAAGACAAAATTTTGTGACACAATCCATAATGCAAGGCAAGTTTATTTGTATTGCACAGTTCATACACAAGGCAACTCAAATTGACAGTGACATGACAAATATTCACAGTACATTTTACAAAAAATGAAGATACAAGCCTTCAGTTTTATACACAGATGAAAAGAACTGTTTTTAACATACAATTAAAATGCTGCCTCCCTGTGTTTAGTCCTGACTCTGTGCACCAGCAGGAAGCCAGTCCCTGTGCTCCTCAGAGTCAGAGTTGGTTCTTATGGCACTAACATGCTATATGCTACTAATGTACTTTGGTGCAAGGCCATAGAGAGACTTGTGACAAACAGAGCCTCTTTAAAGTATATTCTCTGAGCCACATGAAACCAGTGCAGAGACCTGAGAACTGGACTGATGTGACTGTACTTCCTGGAATCGAGCTGCAGCATTTGTAAAAAAATTGTCAGCATATGTACATAAAGTCAAAAACAGCTAAATTTCAGAGATTCCGAGCTTCACAATTAGGTATAATATCTCTACATTGCCTGAGCTGAAGTTGGCTGACACTGTTTATGATCTCAAAGACTGCTTTGGTTAGCAAGGCACAGGGCCACAAAATGACACACAGGCCTTGTCACAACGAACTAGTCCCTATTCTCCCAAAGTTCCTGTTTGTCAAACCGCTTAAAGTTTCAAGGTAATCAGTTATTGAAATAGATGTCAACTAATTTAGTATTCTGTTCATCGTTTTTGGAACCATACCTGGAACATAGGATTCTGGGCAGAGGTTTTATGAATCATACTGAGCTATAATTATAACAGAAAGAATAGTAGAAATAGTTTCTTTAGCGTAAATTTGGTAGATTGACGGATTTAGACAACTATTGATTAATCGAATCAATAGTTTGATTAATCAATAGTATAATCACTGAAATACTAGGTTATCAAAATAAGCAGAATCTACAGCCCTAGGAGAAAGTAATACAAGCTGATGAACTAATAACCTCACATATTGCTGAAATTAAAATGAATCCTTGCTTTAATTTGTATTGATCTACTTTGTCCAAGTAAA